AGAGGGATAGAACTAGTGGAGAGGAGGGGAGGGGCGAGGTTGAACCCCAGAAACGACTAAAAGTGGTTTCAAGCTGTTTGGGCAAGGATGCTGATGTGGCGAAAGAGGATGAGGGAAAGGAAAGAGTGGGAGAGAAGGAGGGGGAGAAGAGGGGAAGGGGAGGAGAGGGAGGGGAGGAGGAGGGGGGAGAGAGAAACGAGAGCGGGGAAAGGATCATTAGGGAGTGGGGAGTGGTATAAGGGGGATTTAGATAAGGGAGCAAAGGAGGGAAGGGAGAGAGCTGGTGACAAACCAGTGGGAAGAAACGTTTTGTGAGATGGTAGATGTTAGAACACCCTATAGTCGGCGCTTTCAGCACTTTTACAAGTCTCTGTCGTGGCACTGGGATAACCCTCTCGATCCTCTCTCTCTCTCTAGGGAGGTACTGGGGAGGCTTTCCTCAGGGAAGGTGGATATATGGAGTCTAACCTTCCTGATGATATCCCTTCTTGTCCCAGTGGTTAGGACTGGTGACTTTATGATAGTATCCACCTTTTGAATTTTTTCCAATGGCTAGGAAGGGCAGTAATATGGCTGGGACCCTTGACTCATCATGCATGGCTCGGTTGGTTTCCGTGACTCGTCATTCAAAGTTTTGTTGTCGGATTTCAGGGCCCTGAAATTCCAACCCTTTAAAACCATCTTAGAAGCTACACATTTTATCGTGCTTTTAGTAACACGTTTGGGCATTTTAGTTTCGTGGTGTATTTATCTCACCCACTCGTCTCGTACCTCGATATTGCCGTTCAACCATTCTCGCACCTGCACTGTCAGGCAATTCCCCAATCCCCGCCATTTATATCTCCCCGTTTTTCGCCTTGAATCATTTTCCCCCATTCATTTTCCCCCACGCTCATTTTACACTGCCTCGCCCTCCCTACTCTTACCTCGATAGTCACGGCAAGCGGTAGATTGCCCACCCGCTCGCGTCATTCGCGGTAGTGCCTGTGCGGGCGGCCCTTGTTTCCTCCGTCGCTTATGCGCGGACGTAGTTGTTATGGAGGGTGGTACTTTAGAGGTGAAGGAGGCAGGCGCGTTGGCTGCGGAGGCCGCGCCGCGCGCAGAGGAGATTAAGGACGTTAAGGACCGGCGGTGGGATCGTAGCGCGATTCGCGGCATGTGGGAGTTCGCTTCGATACTGGACTTTCTCAGAGTAACGTTTCGCGATCATGCCGCTAACGTCATTCGCTGATCACATGGTTACCAACAGGACTAGCACGCGCTTCAGCACTTAGTCGCACTAGCATGACAACATGAAAATGTTTCAACGTCAGCCTTTTTATAGCGCTATAACGAGTTGATTTCGCGATTTATATCGAATGGCGGTTTCCAATTCCTGCTGCGATAAACGAACGCAGTTGGCGATTCGGCCTCTCGTGTCGCGCTTCTCACCTCGTGTCGCCGCGATAAGCTCCTCATGCGCGAATTTTCCGCCTCATCTCGTCATTATAGCACCAGTAACAGCTATTAATGCAACGTTATTCAGACTCCATGCCTATCCGTCCGTGCTTGAATCTGTCACTGACACTCTTCCAGATTTTCCGGGAGCCGCTACAGCTGACCATCGACGCTACAGCCGAAGACGTCGAAACGGCCCTCCTAACCCCGGAGCCGTCTCCGCTTCTTAAAGACATCCACATTACCCTCCTTAAGGTGATTAGGGTTTGCTCGCCATCTTCGCCCGACTTGCCTTAAAATGGCTGGCGTATCACGGTTCGCTGTTGAGTCGGGCACTCATCCTAGCGATACGCAACTGTTCGACCGTCGGTGCGGGTTGTTGCGAACCTGGTTTCGTGAGATCCGTTCCATTGATGGAATCCGTTAGGGTTAGTTGCTTGTAGTCTCTCAGCGTCTTCTGCCTGCTGGACTACAGCTCTCACTTGACTGGTTACACTTCGCCAATGATCGTGTTTCGCCAGCGCTCTCTTTTCGCCGCCTCTCGCGTTCTCTCAGTGTCCCTCGCTTAATAGACTCCTCACGCATTCAGGCCTTGAGGCATCCTGACTCTCCTGCTCCTCCCTCTCAGGGCATACAGCCGCTCAACCGCCCCCCAGCAGACCACCGCACGTGGGCGACCCTTGTGTGCCGGCGTGTGCACAACACTTGGCCGCAGGTAAGGGTGACGAACGTATGGTGCATGCATGCATGCATTTGCTATCCGTTTCTCCATTGCACGCGGTATTTCCTTCTCCCCCTCTCCTCCCTCTCATCCTCCCCGCCCGCCCCTCCAGCTCCCCCTCTAGAGCTCTCAGATGTCCGTTTTGTTTGCTTTCGGCTTCTTCTTCTGATGCTTTTCGTGTCCCAAAGTTGCATCTTATATGCACATTGTGCGTTGTATGTATTCAAATACTGTGTATGTGTGCATGCCCTCCCTGTGTGCGTGCGTGCGTGCATACATGCATGCATGTGTTCGTGCGTGCGTGCATACATGCATGCATGTGTTCGCGCGTGCGTGTGTGTGTGCTTGCATGCATGTGTGTGCTTGCATGTGTGTGTGCATTCCACTCAATCAGGTCGCCCCAGGGATTTGCCCTCTCTATTCCTGTCAGGGGTAAGTCCTACTCTCCCCATCCCTTGCGTGTACCCTCTTGCTCCTCTTGCTCCTCTTGCTCCTCTTGCTCCTCTTGCTCCTCTTGCTACTCTTGCTCCTTTTCCCATGGAGCCCTCTCCTCCTCCCCCCCCCCTTCCCACGTCCCGTTCCGTATAATAAGCATGCCCACCTCTCCCCTCACCTCTCCCCTCACCTCTCCCCTCACCTCTCCCCTCACCTCTCCCCTCACCTCTCCCCTCGCCTGTCCCCTCACCTCTCCCCTCGCCTGTCCCCTCACCTCTCCCCTCGCCTGTCCCCTCACCTCTCCCCACACGTGCCCCAACGCCAGGGGCCACACGTGTCGCCTCGTCTGAGGCAGAGCTCTATGCGTCCCTCCCTCCACCTGACCGCGTGCACGTCTTGAAAGCCCTTCATGCACCCATGTCCGCTCTGTCCTCACACCTCCCCCCATGCGCCCACCTCTCCCCCCGTGCGCCCACCTCTTCCCCCGTGCGCCCACCTCTCCCCCCGTGCGCCCACCTCTTCCCCCGTGCGCCCACCTCTTCCCCCGTGCGCCCACCTCTCCCCCCGTGCGCCCACCTCTCCCCCCTTGCGCCCACCTCTCTCCCCACGTGTCCTCACCCAACGCCAGGGCTGAGGCGGAGCTCTATGCGTCTCTCCCTCCGCCTGACCGCGTGCGCATCTTGAAAGCGCTCTGCGAGATGCGCCTGGATGTAAGTAAAACATGCATTAGATTAGAGAGGGGTGCAGTGCAGTGGAGGGCTGAATTTTGAGTCGACTCAAAAGTCTGCGAGATGCGCCTGGATGTAAGTATAACATGCATTAGATTAGAGAGGGGTGCAGAGGTGAGGGGCACATAGGAGAGATGGTTGCATTAGAGAGGCATGCAATAGGGAAGCATGCATGCTCACGTTCTTTCCCCCCCCTGTGCCCATGAATCCTCCACCGCAGCAAGAGGATGTGCGCCTGGTTGTGGACGCGGTCACGCGGCTATCACGAGTAACGGGGAGGAGACTGGTGGATGATGACTGCATACAACTCCTGCCCCTCCCCCCCCCTTGCTTCCCTGATTCGCCTTTTGAGTCGACTCAAAAGTAGACTCACTACACACGGACTGCATGCATACTCGTGCCCCTTCCCCCCCCCTTGCTTCCCTGATTCGCCTTTTGAGTCGACTCAAAAGTAGACTCACTACACACGGACTGCATGCATACTCGTGCCCCTCCCCCCCCCCTTGCTTCCCTGATTCGCCTTTTGAGTCGACTCAAAAGTAGACTCACTACACACGGACTGCATGCATACTCGTGCCCCTTCCCCCCCCCCTTGCTTCCCTGATTCGCCTTTTGAGTCGACTCAAAAGTAGACTCACTACACACGGACTGCATGCATACTCGTGCCCCTTCCCCCCCCCTTGCTTCCCCTTGCTTCCCTGATTCGCCCCACCATGCAGCAAGAGGACACGCGCGTGCTGATAGACGCGGCAATGAGGAGGAACGTTGAGGAGATTCGCATGGAGGATGACTCTTCCCCTCACTATTCCCTCGATGCCGCCCTGCCCCCTGCACCCATGCCCCCCCCACCAAACAGCAAGAGGACACGCGCGTGCTGATAGACGCGGCAATGAAGAGGAACGTTGAGGAGGTTCACATGGAGGATGACTCTTCCCCTCACTATTCCCTCGATGCCGCCCTGCCCCCTGCACCCATGCCCCCCCCAGCAAACAGCAAGAGGACACGCGCGTGCTGATAGACGCGGCAATGAAGAGGAACGTTGAGGAGGTTCACATGGAGGATGACTCTTCCCCTCACTATTCCCTCGATGCCGCCCTGCCCCCTGCACCCATGCCCCCCCCACCAAACAGCAAGAGGACACGCGCGTGCTGATAGACGCGGCAATGAAGAGGAACGTTGAGGAGGTTCACATGGAGGATGACTCTTCCCCTCACTATTCCCTCGATGCCGCCCTGCCCCCTGCACCCATGCCCCCCCCACCAAACAGCAAGAGGACACGCGCGTGCTGATAGACGCGGCAATGAAGAGGAACGTTGAGGAGGTTCACATGGAGGATGACTCTTCCCCTCACTATTCCCTCGATGCCGCCCTGCCCCCTGCACCCATGCCCCCCCCACCAAACAGCAAGAGGACATGCGCCTGCTGATAGACGCGGCAATGAAGAGGAACGTTGAGGAGGTTCACATGGAGGATGACTCTTCCCCTCACTATTCCCTCGATGCCGCCCTGCCCCCTGCACCCATGCCCCCCCCAGCAAACAGCAAGAGGACACGCGCGTGCTGATAGACGCGGCAATGAAGAGGAACGTTGAGGAGGTTCACATGGAGGATGACTCTTCCCCTCACTATTCCCTCGATGCCGCCCTGCCCCCTGCACCCATGCCCCCCCCACCAAACAGCAAGAGGACACGCGCCTGCTGATAGACGCGGCAATGAAGAGGAACGTTGAGGAGGTTCACATGGAGGATGACTCTTCCCCTCACTATTCCCTCGATGCCGCCCTGCCCCCTGCACCCATGCCCCCCCCACCAAACAGCAAGAGGACACGCGTGTGCTGATAGACGCGGCAATGAAGAGGAACGTTGAGGAGGTTCGCATGGAGCCGTTTGGAACAGACGCCAGCAGCCATGTGTTCTGGTGAGGACCGGGGTTGTGGTGGGATGGTCAAAGGTCTTGGTACTGACTCGAATTCGCATGGAGCTGTTTGGCACGGACGCCAGCAGCCACGTGTTCTGGGGAGAGGGAATGTCCATGCGCTAACTAGCTGCTCAGGTGTGTGTTGTAAATCGAGAGTGAACACGCCTTTCGTCTTCACTGTCTTCCTTACTTCCCTTACATTCCCTGTCCTGGTATAACCTCTCTCCCTCCTGGAAAAACTCTTCTCACTTTCAGGTTCTGCAATGATGCAGTATTGGGCCATCGTCTCTTTAAAGAGGGTCCTCCCGTTTGTATCACACAAGAGGAGGCTGACGCTGCCGCTGCCGCTGCTGCTGCCGCTGCTGGTGCTGCTGCTGAAGCTGCAGCAGCTGCTGCTGCTGCTGCCGTTGCTTCTGGTGGTGTTGGTGACGCATCCGCTGCTGATGCTGCTGCTGCTGTGGCCGAAACTGCTAGTGCTACCGATGCTGCTGATGCTAATGCTTCTCCTGCAGTAGTGGTTGCAATGGCGGTTGTGGGAGAGGTAGCAGAGGCAGAGATAGAGAGAGGGACAGGGACAGAGGCAGAGGCAGAGACGGCGGCAGAGGCAGCAGTTGCAAAATATGCTGCCAAGCCTGCTGTTGCTGTGACTGCTGCTGCTATTGAAGCTGAAGCTTCTCACGCGGCTGATACCAGAGCTTCTGCTGCTGCTGCTGCTGAACGTGCTGAAGCTGCTGTCAAAGCTGCCGAGACAGCTGCTGTTGCAACTGAAGCACCTGAAGCAACCGGGGCTGTTGCACCAGTAGCAGCATCCCAACCAGGTGACCCCAGATCTGCACCTGCCGCCAACTCTGCCGCTGCAGCTGCTGCTGTTGTTGATACACCAGCAAAAGCCTCCACACCTGATCCTTTGGCCGGCTTCTCCACCAATGGCAGCATTCCACCTGGCAAAGTCGGGGACTCTGAGCCGTCCATTGGGCCAAAACCAGCGTCTGAGCCCTTAGCACCTGATGCAACACCTGAGCCTGTAGCACCTGAAACAGCACCTGAGCCTGTAGCACCTGAAACAGCACCTGAGCCTGTAGCACCTGATATGGCACCTGCTACGGCACCTGATACAGTGCCTGATATGGCACCTTCTACGGCACCTGAGTCTAACCGGGAGGCTTCAGCTGCTGTAGAGCAGGAGAATGGGGTTAAAAAGGCGGAGCGAGGGATGGCAGAAAATGAGAAGGGGGGTGAAGGAGAGAACCTTGAGTCGGCTCAAAGATCTCCTGCGGCTGAGTCTAAAGGGGGGGGTTCAGCTGGTGCACATGATGAGGCGAAGGGGGTTCAAAAGGAGGAGAGGCGGATGGTAGAAAGTGCGAAGGGGGGTGAAGGAGTAGGGAATGGAGTTGAAGAGAAGAGAGGGGAGGAGAGAGGGGAGGAGAGAGGGGAGGAGAGAGGGGAGGAGAGAGGGGAGGAGAACGGGATTGAAACTACAAGGCTGGCTCGAACCCAAAGTGATGCGGATACCGGGATCGCTGTTGTGATTGGGGCAAAGGCGTGCCAGGACCAAGCGGACAGTGTTACAACGGACAGTGTTACAGGGATCAGTGTGGTAACCAGATTGGACACGTTTCAGGCAGGGAAGGGCACAAAGAGCCTGGATGGTAGGATATCCCCGATTGGGGTTGATTCGAGTCGAAACTCACTAGGTGAAAAAGAAGGAGAAGGGGAAGGCGAAGGAGTGGGAAGAATTGGCGGGAAAGAGAGAGAATACCGGAGTGGAATTGACGCAATTGTTCGAGGCGGGAAGGTGATGGTTGGGGTGAAAGCGGAAGAAGGGGAAGAAAAGGGGGGGGGAACGAGGATAAGGCGCCTGTTGGGAGGGTGCTAGTAGCGAAGGAAAACGAGAGGGTTTATGTGAGGAGAAGTGCCAGGAAGGGGAAAGAGGAGGAGCAGGAGGAGGAGGAGGTGAATGACGAGGGAGAGGAGGGGGGGGAGGGGAAAGAGGGGGTGAAAGGGGGAAAGGGAAGGAGAAGGTGGGGGGAGTGAAGAATGAAGGCAGGACACGTAGCGGGAAGAGTTTGGCCCAAGCTAGGGTTGCGGGACGGAGAAATGGAGGAGAGGTGAAGGGTAGAGGAGGAGAGATGAAAATGACTGGAGGAGCGAAGAAGGAAGAGGTGGGGTTGTTGGACGAGGCTAAAGCAGAAGGGGAAGACGGGAAAGACGGAACAGAAGCAGGGGAGAGAAAGGAAGGGGAAGAGGGAAGGGAGGAGGGGAGACGGAAAAGAGTGGAGGAGGCTGAGGAGAGGGAGGTAAAGGCTGGTGATGGGATGGTTGCAGGCAGTGCTGATGAAACAACCAAATGTGAACCTGTGGTGACTGGCACTACTACAGTGACAGCAGCAGCAGCAGCTGGGTCTAGTGAGGCAGATGCTACTGTGATAGACTTAACTGATGCAGACACAAGCACCCCCACCCCTGCCAAGGCAAAGGGGACTCATGAACACCCTGGGAAAGGGGACTCAAGTCCCCCCACCCCCGCTCAGCCCGCTCCCACCCGCCATGGCATGAGCATGAGAACGAGATCGGGCGGTCTGCGCCCCCCTCCTCCCGCCGCCAAGCCCACTCCCAAGGCGGCCAGCAAGAAGGGCAAGGGGGCCAAGGCCAAGGGTGGTGCATCGGCTACCGCTGCTGCTGCTGCTGCTGCTGCTGCTGCAGAAAAGAAGCGGAAGGCTAAGCCGGTGTATCTGCCGCCGTCGTGTGGGGACTTTGTCACGGCTGCTGTTTCACTGGTGGATTTCACAGCGCTCGTGGTAAGTCGGAGGGTTGAAGGTAGGTAGTGTTGCCTTCGGTTACAAGAAGACTTTTGAGTCGACTCAAAAGTCATTTCGGTTACAAGAAGGCTAAGCCGGCGGTTCTGCTGCCGCTGTGGGGCGAGTTTGCCACTGCTGCAGTTTACCTGGTGGTTTTCACAGCCCTCGTGGTAAGTTGGAGTTTCCAAACCAACCCCCTCCCCCCCCTTCCCCCTCTTCCCCCCACCTCCCCCCCCTCCCCCCCCTTCCCTACCTTTCCCCCCTTCCCTAGCTGCAACTTTGCACTTTGACTCCCCGTGCCTGATCGTTCACTTCACTCCCCCCTGCTGGTTTTGGCTATCGAGGTTCGTCAGCAACTGAATCCCTCTGCTGGTGACTTTTGAGTCGACTCAAAAGCTCCCCGTGCCTGTTCGTTCACACCCCCCTGCTGGTTTTGGCTCTCAAGGTTCGTCAGCAACTGAATCCCCCTTCTGGTTTCTGCCTGCTGCTGCCTGCCCCTGCAGGAAGATCTGAGCGCCAGTGTGCATAACGCGGATCAGCTTATAGCGGATCGCCTGGCAGAGGAGGCTGTTCCTAAAGTGGAGCTGGAGGAGAAGGTGAGGCCCAGGGGAACTAGGCGGCTATTTTGTTTGAGTCGCCTCAGAAGGCTTGCTTTGAGTCGCCTTGGAATAAGTGGAGCTAGAGGAGAAGGTGAGGGACAGCACAAGTAATATGAGGCTTGCTTTGAGTGCTTTAAGTCGCCTAAGAGTAACCCACAGGCGGTGGCGGATCGCCTGGCAGAGGAGGCTGTTCCTACAGTGGAGCTCGAAGAGAGGATGCGGGACAGGAGGAGAGGACAAGTATGAGGCTTGCTTGCTTTGAGTCATCTCAAAAATAGACTCCTCTCGAAGAGAAGGTGAGAGACAGCAGTGGACAAGTATGAGGCTTGCTTTGAGGCACTCAGAAGGTTTGCTTTGAAGCACCTCAGAAGGCTTGCTTTGAGTCGCCTTGGAATAAGTGGAGCTCGAAGAGAAGGTGAGAGACAGGAGGGGACAATTATGAGGCTTCCCCTATCCTCGCATTTCCTTCCCCTATCCTCGCATTTCCTTTCCCTATCCTCGCACGTCATCTCCCCTATCCTTGCCGCAGCGATGGCTGTACCCTGTGCTCTACTTGTCCCTTGACCATTCTCCTCTTCCCTTTTCCTCTCCCTCTGGGCAGCCGAGGCAGCGTCATGCGGAGGCAGCAGAGGCAAGCAGCGCAACTAGCAGCGACCATGGGGATAAGTCCATGCTATCCTTCCTACCAACCCTAAATCGTCTTCCCGTCACTTGAACCCCCGACAGCGGAGGGAAGGGCATGCAAAGAGGCAGCAGAGGCAAGCAGCGCAACTGGCAGCGGAGCTAGCAGCAACCATGGCAGCAGCAGGGCAGTACGCAGGGGGGTATGGAGAGGGGCTGGCCCTCCCCTTTGTTGTTTCCTTCATCCCGTTCTGCTCTCAACCCAACCCCAAACAGCGGAGGGAGCGGCATGCCAAGCGGCAGCAGCGGCAAGCAGCGCAACTGGCAGCGCAGCTGGCAGCAACCATGGCAGCAGCAGGGCAGTATGCAGGGGGGTACGGCGAGGGGCTGGCTCTGGGCCGGTCACGACGGGAACGAAAGCCCGTCACTTACACATTCGGTGCGTGAATCCATTGTCGTTGATCCGCTGTGTGCGTTAACCCATTGTCGTTGATCCATTGTCTTTGATCCGCTGTATGCGTTAATCCATTGTCGTTGATCCGCTGTGTGCGTCAATCCATTGTCGTTGATCCGCTGTGTGCGTTGATCCATTGTCGTTGATCCGCTGTGTGCGTTAATCCATTGTCGTTGATCCGCTGTGTGCGTTGATCCATTGTCGTTGATCCGCTGTGTGCGTTGATCCATTGTCGTTGATCCGCGGTGTGCGTTGATCCATTGTCGTTGATCGGCGGTGTGCGTTGATCCATTGTCGCTGATCCGCAGTGTGCGTTGATCCATTGTCGTTGATCCGCGGTGTGCGTTGATCCATTGTCGTTGATCCGCGGTTTGCGTTGATCCATTGTCGTTGATCCGCTGTGTGCGTTGATCCATTGTCGTTGATCCGCTGTGTGCGTTGATCCATTGTCGTTGATCCGCGGTGTGCGTTGATCCATTGTCTGTGTTGATCCTTCTTGCAATGCTGGTGTTTGGTTGTGCATGCGTTCTTTTTTGCGAAATATAATTGCTGCCTCCCCTTCCTTCCTTCCCCTTCCCCTTTCTCCCCTCAGACGACTTTGACCGCTCTATCAACGACGCCATCACGCTTCCTGCCAAATCCCGTGAGCTTCCGCCCGAACACGCTCCCACTCGGGAGGGACTTCGCCAGCTGGCGGGGCGGCGCGTTTTGTCTGGTAGTGGTGACGCTGCTGCAAGTGAAGCAGGAGGAGGAGAGGGAGGGGGAACGACGGGGGGCGAAGGAGGTGCGGGAGAGGAGATGGGAGGGGAGGGGGAGGAGGGAGAGAGAGAAAGGGGGCAAAGGAAAGATGGAGAGGGAGAAGAGGGGGGAAGAGAAGGGGGAGGCGAGGAGGAGGACGGCTCGAGAGTAGGGTTTATTGGGGAAGGTAGGGAAGGAAGAGGGGATGGGGGAGAGGAAAGAGGGGAAGGGGGAGGAAAAGGAGCAGAGGCGGAACTCTATGGGGAGGAAGGGGGAAGGGAAGGGGAAGGGGAAGGATCAGATGGGGACGGTTTGGGGGCAAGGAGGAAGAGGGGGAAAGTTGGAGAAGACGAGGATTATGAGCCGAATGGGAGTGGTGATAGTGGGGGTGCTGGTAGTGAGAGTGATGATAACGAGAGGCGGTACAGAGAGGGGGAGGATGGTGGATTGGGGGAGGACGAAGGGGAGAGAAGAGACAGGAGAGGAGTTGAGGAAGCAGAGGGGAAGGAAGATCCCAGGGAGCAGAGGCTGATTAAAAGGCAAGTGGGCAGGAGCGAGAGAGAGGAGATGGTGAATGGTGCTTTGGAAGGGAATTTCAAGGGTAGGAAGCGACGGAAGGGAGGTTATAAGGATGAATACAGCGAGGGGGAGGAGAAAGGGGAGGACGGAGAGGAAGATTACAAGGAAGAAGTTGAAGAGAGGGGAAAGGGGGTAGGGACAGACGCGGAGAGGGAAAGGGGAACCGTGCAAGGGGAAGGGTTGAAGGAAAGGAGGAATGAGGATACGGAAGCGAAGGAAGGAATGAGGAATGGGGTAGCTTATAAAGGGGATGCGGATGAGCTGAAGGATGCAGCAGAGGGAGTGGTGGCAGGAGAAGGAAGGGAAGTGAGTTTGGGGAGGCGTGCAAGGGTGAGTGCTGGAGAGAGTGCGAGGGCGAGAGTGGGTGACGGAGTGGAGGAGGAGGGAGTGGGCGAGAGAAAGGGGGAGAGGGGGAAGGGAGGTTGGATGGCAAAGTGGGGGAGAGAGTGGGGAGCAGAAGAAGGGAGAAGAGAAGGAAGCCGGAAGCTGAAATGGTGGCAGAGGGGGCGTCTGGCTTGGAGGCAAGGCCTGCATCTGGCTTGGAGAAACAGGAAAGGGATGGGGGGAGACGGCTAAGGAGGAAAGGCAGTGGCTTGGTGGTTGGCTCCGAAACGACGCAAGGGGGGGGCGGGGTGATGGTTAAAGGTTCTGAGGGGACGTTTGGAGAGGGTGGGCTGAGGGCGAGGACTAGGTGGGGAGGGAGGAGGCCTGAGGGCGTGTCGTTTAAAGAGGAGGAGAGTGGGGAGGAGGGGAGGAGTGGGGAGGAAGGGGGGATGAGTGGGGAGGAGGGGGGGAAGAGTGGGGAGGAGGAGTGGAGTGTGGAGGAGGGGGGGGAGGAGGAGGGGAAGGAGGAGGAGCATGATGGAAGGAGAGGATCTGGGAGGGTGAGGAGAGAGGATGCTCGTGGGAGATTGCGGGGAAAGGAAGGGAAGGAAGGGAAGGAAGGGAGGTCTGGACTGGGGCATGGGAAGGGCGGTGAGAAGGGGAAGGGCGGTGACAAAAGGGAGGGGAAGCGTGAAAGCGTACCTGTACCGAATGGGAGAGGAGGAGCGGAGCGCAGTCAGCATGCTCCAATGTACGAGATCAAGCCTCTGAGGTTGCTGAGGTGAGATTTCTGTGAGCCCATTATTTAGGCGGCTCAAAACGTTGTGAGCTTCCTGTGATCCCACCAACTGCTTCTGAGACAGTTGTATTTTGAGTCGACTCAAAATACTTCTGTGAGCCCATTATTTAGGCGGCTCAAAACGTTGTGAGCTTCCTGTGATCCCCCACCACCTGCTTCTGAGACGTCACTCGTGAGGACTCTACTTTTGAGGCGCCTAAAAAACAGGTTACTGAGGTGAGTCTTCTGTGTGGGCCCACTGGACATGGTGAAGACAGGATTGCAATTTAAATCGCATCGCGTTGGGGTGTGATTTAATCAAATGCGATGCGATTTAAAATCGCAGCGCGCAATTTAAACTTTGGAATTTTCCTAAATCGCTCATCGCGTTGAGAGTGCGATCTACTTGAAAACTGCGGGCGATTTTTTTAATTTCAATGGCGCAATGCGTTAAAAAATCGCATCGCTTTTCTGGCCAGTAAGAAAGCCCTTCCAAATCGTCCCTACATTTTCAAAAAACAGGGCAGCCCGCACTACAAAACACAGTCCGTACGCGGTATAGTGCAAATAAATAGAGCGTTTCAGCAATGGGTTTCACACTAGAGTGTTTGCGATCTTTTTAGAATGTGTTTTTTTGCGCGGGATTGAATGCGATTTGATTAAATTGCGCAATAATCAATGAATCGCATCGCGCGATTAACCAAAAGAAAATGACGCCGTCGCAAAAACGCGATTAAACGCGATGCGATGCGGTTTTTTTTAACCATGTAGGGCCCACTACCTGCTTTTGACTCGTCACTGGCCTTTGGGGCTGTTGAGGCGCGTTCGCCTTGAGGGGGCATTTTTTAGTCGACTCAAACCGAAACCGGAAACCCAAAACCCTCACCCGAACTCGGAAATCCATAACCCAGAGAATTTTTAGGTGTATTTTGAGTCGACTCAAAATACACCTGAATTTTTAGGTGCCACGAATGTCCACTCCCCGTTGGATCGCAATGCTGCTTTGCAGGCACCGGCACAAGAGGCGACGCAGCTATGCGGATATCTTGGAAGAGGAAGGGGAGGAGGAGAATGGGAAGAGTTCTCACAACACCCCTCCTTTACTCCCTCCCTTACAACCTGGAGAGATCTCACAATACCCGCGGTTTCTCCCTGTGTGTTGACCTCAGGCACCGACACAAGAAGCGACGCAGCTATGCGGATATTTTGGAGGAAGAGGGGGAGGAGGAGAACCGCGAGGAGGGGGTTGGGGAAGGGGGCATGGAGGAAGGGGGCGGGCAGGTAAAAGGAGAGGCAGGGCAGGTTAAAGGAAAAGCAGGGCAGGTTGAAACCATGGGTGACGGGAGGGGTAAGGGAACCGGGGGGTCAAAGAAAGGGAGGGAGGGCATGTGGAAACTCAAGGTTGTGGAGTGGGATGCCAATGGTTTTGAGAGTACTGAAACGGCTGACGGTGCAAGTGCTGGTGGCGGCTTTAGTGCCGGTGGGTTAGGTGGTGGTCCTGCTGCTGGTCATGGTGCTGTTGCAGCTAGTGCTGGGGATGCTTGTAAAGAGGATGCTGGTAACGAGGGTAGCAATGGTGACGTTGAGGGAGAGGTGGTGTACTATGAGGAAGAGGAGGAGCGAGCGTTGAGAGTGCAGAAAGAAAGAGAGAAGGCGGGAAGGGAGCAAGAAACGAAGGGAGGCAGGAGAGAGGGAGGAGGAGAGAGGGAGGGAGAAGAGAGGGAGGGAGGAGAGAGGGAGGGAGGAGAGAGGCGGGAAGGGCCAAAGAGAGGAGAGGAAGGGGAGGGCGAGCAGAGTCGAGGCACGCTGTGGGTGTTGTGGAAGCGGGACGTAGGGTGGGAGAACAAGCAGAGGATCCTTCCGACGAGGGGGAGGGAGAGGGGAGGGAAGAAGAGGTAAAGGAAGAACAGGAGGAGGAGGAAGAGGAAGAAGAGGAGGAGGACGACGACGAGGAGGAGTATGTGGTGGGGTTTCAGGGCAAAAGGAGGAGTGGCAAGAAGGGGTCGCAGAAGGGCGGAAGCAGAGGGGCAGAGAGGAGGGTGCGGAAGGGAGGGGAGACGCTTGGGCAGGGGGTGCAAATGGTAGGGAAGAGCAGGGGGGGGAGAGGAGGAGAGCAGGAGTAGAAAAGCACCGGCACGGGGATGAGAATGGGGATTGGGAACTAAGCGAAGGGGCGTCACCAATGCTTGCTTCTCCCCCTGGTTCTGACTCGAGAAGAAGAAGAGGCAGGCTTGGTGACTCTGCTGCTGGTTCTGCTGCTGCTGCTGCTGCTGCTGCTTCACCCATCCCTGCTGCGTCTGCTGCTGCCTTTGCGTCTGCTGCTGCTGCGGCGGCAGCGTCACCAGAAGAAGACGAAGAAGAAGAGAAGGCAGAAGAAGATGAAGGGACTCCGACCGGTGTGAGGCGCAGCGGCAGGAAGCGGAGGGAGAGGAACTACAGGGACTTAGTGAATGCCAAAGACGGGGCGGATTGGAGTATGTCTAGTGAGGAGGAGGGGGGGAGGAAGCGAGGTGGAAGTGGAAAACGAAGGCGAGTAGGCGGAGGAGGGGGAGTGAGTCGGAGGAGGGGGGGAGGGGGAGGAGCAGGAGGGAGGGTAGTGGGAGGAGGTGGGGGAGGAGGTGGGGGAGAGGGAGGAGAAGAGTTTGGGCCGAGGCGGCAGCTGATGGTGAATGGGCGAGGAGCGGACTTGGAAGAGCGGCAAAGAGAGGAGGAAGGGGAGGAGAGCGGAGCGGAGGGGGTGGAGGGAAGGGAGGAAGGTGGAGGAGAGAGTGGGGGGAGTGAAGGACGAGGAGAGGGAGCAGAGGAATGGATGTTGGGACGAGAGAAGGGAGCAGAGGAAACAACAGACGGTAGACAAGGGAGAGAGGGGAGGGAGGGAATAGCAGGCAGTGAGGAGAGAAGGCAGGAGCAAGGGAGCGTCAAGTGGAGTGCAGTGAGGAGGAAGCGAAGCCATCATATGGAGCTGCAGAAGGGCGTGTCAGGTGCTTCACAACAACCCTGACCACCTGGTATTAGTGGGGCAAGAGGGCAGTGTTGAGGAGAGGGGAGGAGCAAGGGAACGTCAAGTGGAGTGCAGTGAGGAGAGAGTGAAGTGAAGCCACCATATGGAGCTTCAGAACTTGACTCAGAAGGGCGTTTCTGGCGCCTCAATCCCTTGACCTGTTAGATTCTAGATCTGACTTGTGAGTCGATGTGGAAGTCCTCTCCTGGCACCTCAAACCCGTGAATTAATAGATTCTAGAGCTGCCTAGAATCTAATAGTTGCATTGAGCTTTTAGGGTTGCCTCGGAGCAGCAAGGTGAAGCCGGCATGTGGACTGGGGGTTTATGAAGGCTCGGCAGGCACCTCAAAGCAGCTTGTTTGCTTGCTCCTTGCAGGGTGATGGATATAGCACGTATAGAGGTGGTGCGTGTGGGAGTTGCCTGTCACCCACCCACATTCGTGGATTCGGGTTATATTGAAAGTCCCTGAAGTCCCCCGGTAAGAGATGTCGCAAGTGAAGTGAGCGGGGCTCAACTCATGAGGATATTGGGCAGCCTCAAAACCTCACTCCTTTGGCCAGCATACGGTGATGTATTGGTAAGTGAAGATCATCCTTAGTGCATGGTATGGAAAGGTGTACAGTCCACAAGACGCTTGTAAGTTGTAACCAAATTGGAAGCAGAGGACAAGGGGGATGTTGGACGCACGGCTAACATTTCCTACAGCCGATGTTTATTTCGCGTGTGCGTGCGAGATCCGCTCCACTAGTCTTCCTAAAAGACTAGTAGACCAAATTTTCGTGGACTACCTCTCGTGATTTCTACTGACCTCACGAATTAGTTCCTCTTCGACCGGCGCGAGCGAGGCGACGCGAGATGGAGCTTCTAGGCGACAGCGACGAATGGGCTGACGTGGAGCCGCTACCGCAGGACGACGGTCCAGATCCCGTAGTGCCGATCGCGTATTCGCGCGAGTTCGACGACGCGATGAGTTACATGCGCGCCGTTCTCGCGAGCGGCGAGCGCACCCCGCGCGTCCTGCGCTTGACGGAGCGCGTTATCTCCGTCAACGCCGCCAGCTACACCGCCTGGCAGCTCCGACGAGACGTGCTCTCGCACCTGCTGTCGTCAGCCGAACCGGTCGCCACGTCAGCAGAACTGTCGTCCACGTCAGCAGGCGGAAGTCCAGGAAATTATCTGCCGGATTTGTCCAATTCGGAGGAGAAGGAGAAGGTTACCGCTGATTCAGGAGCTCGCCTTGAAGGGGATTGGCTGGTTCAAGATGAAGTGCTTTATGCCGAAAATGTGACTCTAGCGAATCCCAAGAATTACCAGGTGTGGCACCATCGCCGCTGGTTGGCTGGTCTTCGCAAAGATCGGGTTACCAGGCATCACGAACAGATGCAGCAGCAGCAACAGGAGGAGGAGGAAGGAGCTTCGAAGCCAGCGTCCCCGTTACAGCAAAATCCGTTACAATCTCTGGCTGACGTGGCACAGGAAGAGTTCCGTTTCTGCGAAGAGGCGTTGCGAGGGGATTCTAAGAACTACCACGCGTGGTGCCACAGGCAGTGGGTGGCTCGGGAGTTTGACACGTGGCATGGTGAGCTGGCGTTCTGTGAGAGGCTGCTGGATGATGACGTGCGTAACAACTCTGCGTGGAACCACCGAATGTTTGTGCTGGAGCATCTTATAGCGAAGCAGAAGCAGAGAACAGGACAGCTGAGAGGAGGAAACAAGGAGGAGGATACAGACAGTAGTGTTACACCGGTAACAACGGAGGATGAGGCAGGAGCTGCTAGCCGCACATCAGCTCTTGATCAAAAGCCCGATTCAGACAGTAGTGTTACACTGGTAACAGTGGAGGATGAGGTGGCATTTGCAGTGACTGCCATCTGGCTCGCTCCCTCCAATGAGAGCCCCTGGCGGTATCTCCAAGGGCTGGTTCGTCTACAGGAGAATGAAGCAGCAGGTGCTTATAATAAAGGCTATTCGAAGCTTCAAGAGATATGCTTGGATGTGTTGGGAAAGGAGCCGGAGTGTGTCCACGCATTGGCAGCTCTTCTTTCTGTGCTTGGTAAAGGTTTTATGTCTGACAGAGTGGGTTTGGTTCTGGGGTTGACCCAGGGTGCACGCGATGATGTTAATACGTTATGCATGGATGCAGCTGTAGCTGTCTGTGAGAAGCTTCAGAAGGTGGATAAGATTAGGTGGCGCTATTGGGAGATGAGGAAGAAGCAGTGCATGTTAGCTGGTGAGCAGTGCATGTGACGCTGTAGGTATTCTATGGAATGTTTGCAGAATTTCCCTGTTAGTTATCAATGCAATTTTGAGAGCATTTGACATGTAAGACTCACATGTCTAAAATTCCCCACTCTTAGAGTTTTGTAACATATCACTGATATCAACCCCATCAGGGGTCTCTGATGGGTACTCTTCGATGATATCGGATATCAGACATCAGTGATGTGCTCTGCTCTGCTGCACCCTGGGATTCGCGAAAACGGGGGGCGAACTGCGACAACAGAATGTCAGCGACGCGATGCGGTCGGTGGCAGGCGGAGCCGCACATGTGACAGGCGGAATGAATCAGGGGGTATTAGGGTAACAGCTTTCGCTTAGCGAAACATTCCGCGAGCCATTTCAGTGTTCGTTGCGTAATTCTCTTCGGTCATTTTTCGTTCAGCCAGCAACTGAAACTGTGGCGGCTCGAGTGGGATTGTTGAATCCGCATTACGCCATTTGTATTGTACTTCGACAATTTGGATGCCTGGCTGCAGCCCTCGTTATTCGTGAACAAGCGCCGCTGTTAGTCTCAAACGAGAATAGGAGATTAGCTTTACGAGGCTTACGAGGCTGATAAATGTGATAGGGAAGAATCAACCGAACGGGTTACAGAGTTCGACGGAAACCATGCGAGACATCATGGTGGAGGAATCAACATGTACACCTCTCTGGCGTAGATTATGTACAGCTCTTTTGGTTCTAGCAGCGATGAATCTTCCGGAAGTAGCGTTGGCGTCGCCACGTGGCATAAGACTGTGGGGCGACTTGGGGCAGCCGCTCCAGAGCCATCCGCATAACGCGGGGGACGGGCGGGGGGGCGGAATCAGCCTCGAGCGGGCGCTCTCCGTATATCGGGTACAGCGTGACACAAGCCCGCTCTCTCTGTATCGGGTACAATGTGACACAGGATCTTGCACTGTATCGGGAATGTGGAGGCGTTTGCACAAGATCTCACCTCTCCCTTAGATCTTGCACGGTTCCAAACTGCACGGCGTGGACCGACGTTTACAGCCTCGCACCAGGTTCGAGCCTCCCCCCACCGCGCCCCACTACTGCCCCCCCGCGCCTTACCATCCCCCCACGCCTTACCCTTCCAATCCCTTTTCCCCAGGCGTGGACCGACATTTACGGCCTCGCGCCGGGTTCCGTCCTCCCCCCGCCGCGCCTCGCCTTCCCGCCGAACGTCCCCCCGGCGCCGCATCTGGAGGACTGCGCGGCGCGCACGGCGTACCGCCTCAAAACAGAGGAGATGCGGGGGGCCAACGGCGTGCCGCCGCGATGGTCACGCGCGCGGGGCGGGTGCAAGCATCCGCAACCCCCGTGGGTGGGTAAGGGGGGGAAGGTCGGGGGGGGGGGAGGGGGGTTGCCGAGAGAGTGCCGGGGGGAGAGGGGAGGGGATTCTGCTAGGGACCTAGGTAGGAAGGTAGGTAGTGGGAATTAGTTGGATGATTGGGTCTTAGCGTCTCTCTTGTCTTCTCTCCTCCCCCTCACCCTCCGCTCGACCCTTGTATTGCCTCGTTCACACAGTAAAAGATTTACTCATCCCCGTTACTGTCACACTGAATCTCTCTCAGGTGCGAGGCTCAGATGCTGCCAACCTGGCAGCAACCAGGCAAGCACAGGCCGACATCTGGCTACTACAGTTCCCAACCCAATCACTGCCATCCACGTCAGCGGCTGCCACCTCAGCAGCTACCGCATCCCTGACAGATTCCTCCACATCAGCAGCTGCCACGTCAGCCTGCTCCGGGCGGCGGCTCTTCGTCGTGGATTGGCCGAAGAGAAAGCACGGGATCGGCTCTCAGCTAAGCATCATGAGCGCTTACTTAAGTCTCGCTATGGCCCACAACCGCACGCTGGTTCCCACGCCCGGCACTTACTTAAGAGCCAGTCACTCCGAGTGCTTAGCTGCTGGGAACGAAAACTCGTTTGACTGCTATTTCTTCCCCATGGTTGCTAAGAGCTGCGGGGAGAGAGTGAGGGAGGTGATGAGGAGAGGGGAGAGAGTGAGGGAGGAGAGTGAAGAGGTGCGGAGAGTTGGAGTAGGGGGGATAGGAGCAGCAGACGAAGGGAGTGCAGGGGGAGGGGGGGAAGGAGGGGAAGGAGGGGGAGGAGGGGGAGGAGGGGGAGGAGGGGGAGGAGGGGGAGGAGGGGGAGGAGGGGGAGGAGGGGGAGGAGGGGGAGGAGGGGGAGGAGGGGGAGGAGGGGGAGGGAAAGGAGGGGCAGAAGGAGAAGGCGAATCAGGAGAGGGGAAAGCAGACAGGGGGAATGCAGGAGAGGGGAGGGAATGGGCGGGGGCGTGTGCGGATCACCGCAACGTGCGGGCTTTGTTGGACTCGAATCGGCCAATCGTGCGGTTCTGTGGGAACTACCTGCACCTGAAATACGAGGCCAGCGCTGCCAGGTGAGGGCTCCAATCTTCGGTGAGAGATGGTGCTGCCAGGTGAGAGAGTGGTGCTGCCAGGTGAGAGATGGGGCTGCCAGGTGAGGAGTCCATTCTTCTCACCTATTGTGCGGTCCTGTGGCAAGTAGTAATTGTACCTGAAGTACGAGGCCAGCACTGCCAGGTGAGGGAGTCAGCAAAACCCAGGTGATGTCCGGTCAAAGGGTATCTCTGTGGGATTGGTCAACTGCTCTTCCGCTGTGGGTCGCAAGGTTCAGCTTTTCCCTCGTATTCTTGAAAATAATTTGCGAACCAGGGAAAAATAGACTCCTCACGTGTGTAATGAGTCGATTTTTGAGTCGACTCAAAAATCGACTCATTACACACGCATCGTTCAGCTTTACCCTCCTATTCTGCTGTGCCACGTCATCATGTATGTAACCGTCTCCCTGCGTTCCACATCGTCACGTGCCAGGTTGTGGGGGTCGGCCTACTTGAGGCGGCGCAACGACATTGAATTGAGGGGGCGAGTGAAGGCGTCAGTGCCCAGGCTGCAGCAGGTATGGCCTCCATGTGATTCAGCCGGCAGTTAGCGTGTTTTGAGACGTCTCAAAACAGATCTACTTTCACAAGACTGCAGCAGATATGGCCTCCACGTGATTCAGGTTGTATCTGAGTGCCGGTTGACTGGCCTTGATTTGAGGGGTTGTGGCAGTAGGCCTTCTTGATGCGGCGCAATGGCGTTGAAGTGGGGGGGCGAGTGAAGCCTTCAGTGCCCAGGCTGCAGCAGGCATGGTTGTGGCTCCATGACCTCCACCTCTCGATTTTGCAGGGTGTTTTTGAGAATTCTCAAAAACACCCTGCAAAATCAATGACCTCCACCTCTCGCCCCCCTCCCATCTCCCCTTGCTACCTCTCACCAACCCTCTCCACCCCTTCGGGTGCACCGGTGGCGCGCCCAGTCGCTGCATTCCATGCCGATCGATCGGCCATCCTCTACCTCTCACCAACCCTCTCCACCCCTTCGGGTGCACTGGTGGCGCGCCCAGTCGCTGCGTTCCATGCCGATCGGCCATCCCTACCTCTCTCCACCCCTCTCCACCCCTTCCCTGTCAGGTGCACTGGTGGCGCGCCCAGTCGCTGCGCTTCATGCTGAGGTGGCCGTCGGCGTACCTGTGCCACGTCAGCAACAGGGTGCGCCAGCAGGCGTATGGGCTTCACGTGGCAGTGAGAATGGAGGAGTCGAGAGCCGCACAGAAGAGGATTGTGGACTCTATTAGTGCTGCATCCACGTCAGCAACATCCACATCGGCATCATCCACATCAGCTGCAGCTGCTGCCAGCGTGGCCGCCAATGCCGCAGAGGAGGCGGCCTCTCTGCGATCCATCTCCTTCTTCGATAAAAGCAGCCTCGATACAAGCATATGGCCCTCTATTGGGTTCGCGGGGTGTACCGCCGCTGATGATGCCAATGAGGAGACGGTACTTGAAGAATCGAAGAAATGGGAAGCAGTAGGGGGGGGGAGGGACAGAAGGGGGATAGAAAGAGGGGGGAGAGAAAGTGAAGCAGGAGGAGGAGGGAGAGGAGGAGGCAGAGAAAGGTTGGGGGAGGAAGAGGGGGAGGAGGAGGGGGGAGAGGAGGAGTACAGGGGGGTGGGGGGTGAGGTGTACCTGCCACGGCCCATAGTGAGCATACATGTGCGGCAGGGCGACAAGGAAAAGGAGATGCGGTTGAGCTCGTTCAAGGCGTACATGTTCCACGCTAACCGGCTGAGGCTGAGGGTGCCGGACATCCACAACGTGTGGCTCAGCACCGAGATGCAGGTGCGTGGGGCACACAGGTGGGTGGAGTGCACAGTGGGATGATTCGAGATAGAGGGTTCACAGGTGTGAGCTGTGAAAGCCGGCAGGGCGACAAGGAGAGGGAAATGAAACTGAGCTCGTTCAAGGCGTACATGTTCCACGCTTACTGGCTGAGGCTGAGGGTGAGGCTGAGGCTGAGAATGCCGGACATGCACAACGCGTGGCTCAGCACCGAGATGCAGGTGCGCGGGTGGGATCACGGGGGCATTCAGTTGCGCTCGTTCAAGGCGTACATGTTCCACGCTTACTGGCTGAGGCTGAGAATGCCGGATGTTCACCACTCACCGCTCAGCATGGAGATGCAGGTGCGCTTTATAAGCTGGGCGACAAGGAGAGGGAGAGTACGAGTTCTGGACATTCACCACGCGTGGCTCGACACCGAGATGCAGGTGTGTGGCATCATGGGGGCATTCAGCTGGGCTCGTTCAAAGTCTACATGTTCCATGCTCACCGATTGAGGCTGAGACTGCAGGACGTTCACCACGTGTGGCTCGACACCGAGATGCTGGTGAGAGGGGGAAGGCCGGTTCCCCTGATAGGGGAGACAGGGGAGGCGGGAAGGCCACTTCCCCTGATTCGCGGATTGCCTCTCTGCTGTACCCGCATCCCCTCGTCGCCTTCCGACCACCAGTCAGCAATCGGCGAGGTAGATGGCTACAGCGATTGGACGTTCATCTACAGCTAGAACAAGCGCCAGTAGAGGCCTTTTCTCTTTCCCCTCATTCACTAGATGTCCCCCATCTACCCTTCCCATCTCCCAATCGATTCACACCCCCCCCCCCCCCCCCCCCTGTGATCGACCAATTGAATGAGTACAATGGTTGAACCCTCCTCTACAGCAAGAGCAGGCAGCTGTTCTGCTAATTCACCGATTCTCCCTCTGCTGTTCTCCCAGTCCCAATTGGACGACTGTAATCCAGGTCAATTGACCAGACTGTAATCCAGGTCAATTGACCAGACTGTAATCCAGGTCAATTGACCAGACTGTAATCCAGGTCAATTGACCAGACTGTAATCCAGGTCGATTGACAAGACTGTAATCCAGGTCAATTGACCAGACTGTAATCCAGGTCGATTGACCAGACTGTAATCCAGGTCCATTGACCAGACTGTAATCCTGGTCAATTGACCAGACTGTAATCCAGGTCAATTGACCAGACTGTAATCCAGGTCAATTGACCAGACTGTAATCCAAGTCAATTGACCAGACTGTAATCCAGGTCAATTGACCAGACTGTAATCCAGGTCAATTGACCAGACTGTAAGCCAGTCGCTTCATTCCAGACTGTAATCGACCAATTGGATGACCACAGCGATTGGACGTTCCTCTACAGTGAGAACAAGCGCCAGTTATACCGAAACTCCCTCTGCGATACTCCCCCTCCCGTCGGTAATCATTGAGCTGGACGGCTACAGCGATTGGACGTTCATCTACAGCAAGAACAAGCGGGCTTGGCGAAACTGAGTGCAAAAAGGCAGCGGGCTTGGCGAAACTGAGGTGCCTGAACCCTTCCTTTCCCACCCCTGGTTCTCTGCTTCTCCCCCTGCTGTGCTCCCATCCTCTTTTCACCTTCTGACCACAACTGGCAGTCAGTAATCGACGAGCTGGATGACTACGGCGACTGGACGTTCGTCTACAGCAAGAACAAGGCCAGTTGGGGTCAACGCAGATGCTGGAGTGCGAGAAGGCAGCGGGCTTGGAACAGCCATTCCCCCCCCCCCCCCTCCCTTTCCCTGCCTGTTTCCCCCCCCCCCCTCTGCACCTTCCTCCATACTGTGATTGACCAATTGGATGACTACGGCGATTGGACGTTGCTCTACAGCAAGAACAAGCGCCATTTGGGGTCCACGCAGATGCTGGAGTACGAGAAGGCAGCGAGCTTGGAGCAGCCACCGCCCTCCCCTTCCCCCCCCCCCCCACCCCGTCCCTTGCTGCCTGTCCCCCTCCCTCCCCCTTGCACCTTCCTCCAGACTGTAATCGACCAACTAGACGGCTACAGAGATTGGACGTTCCTCTACAGCAAGAACAAGCGCCAGTTGGGGTCGACCCAGATGCTGGAGTACGAGAAGGCAGCGGGCCTGGAGCAGCTGGTTGGGGTGAGCTTCGCGAATCTCCTCATTGCCGCGGAGTGTGATTTCTTCATCGGGCCACTGGGATCGAACTGGAACCGCCTAATCAACAACCTGAGGTCTACAAACGGGCGGGTGCATTCGGGGTATGTTGCTCTAAACACCGGGGAATGGTGAGCACGAGTGATGGAGCCAGATGCAATGGGAGCAGCTGGTTGGGTTGAGCTCCGTAAATTGCTGACATTCTCTTCGCCTTGCAGTGGGATTTCTTTGTCGGCCCGCTCGGGTCGAACTGGACTGGAATCAACTAACCAACAACCCCCGAGGCACCAATGGCCGGGTGAAATCGGGACATGTTGTACTCAACACGGGGGAGAGGTGAACTGAAGAAATTGGTAGCTTTCTCATCGCTATTCGGGTGGAATTTGAAACGCCTGTTTAGCAACCCGAGTAGTAACAATGGCAGGCTATCTTACCCTGGAGTATGTTGAAGCTATGTTACCCAAGTTCCAACTATTCACTGTTTGCTTCGTTATTCCTGCGAGTTCGTACACTACGGAACTCGCACGTCCTAGTTACCTCTGAGGGTGACTTTGTCTGGTCAATCGAAATTGCCTGACGGTATGTTACAGTCTTCGATCCTTCTTCCACCGAGTGTACAACATACTTTTTGCCACTCGCTTCATGGCTGGAACTTGGTTTGCTCATATAAATGGTGATTACGAGTACAGAACTTTGATGGTTGCTCAGAGCCGCGGATGTTTTTGCTGTTCATACGATGCCAACGTTTCTAGGATAGAAGGCCTTCAACGTCCTCATTCCTGGTCTAGATCCGTCCGATGCACGCAATCAATTTCAAAACCCCATCTTCAAGAATCTGCACGAGACAGAAAGCAATCCAATCGGTACAGGGTCAACCCGGGAAATCCAAGGAAACCATTGAGCAAGACACGGGTACAAAAAGAGAGAATGATTGTAGAGAGGCCGTCAGCCAGTTAATCCTTGAGTGTGCACCCATTGGAGGTGCACCCACTCCGACCAGCAGCTAAACCTCGCCAGCTTGTACGGCAGTAATGTGCGCCACGTGGGGATCCCTTAGCACAATATCCTCGATAAAGAGGGCATCGGAGATCGTTCATGGCAACAGTTGGACTAACAACCTCTTCCAGCCATAACCGGCACAGAAGATGCACGCACGTACCAACGGCGGGATCAGGAGCGTGACAAAAAAGCCCGCGAGAAACAAAGAAACTGGTCACCATCTTCATTCCAGGGAGTTCTGATGAGATATAAAAACAGGAGGGACACAGGCACAGGAACCATGTTGGATAGAATCACTGAGTGGATGTCTCGTAAGCAATCGTCCGGCCAGCAGACAGGAGGCTGCGGCAGGATAGCGAGCCACGAGCGGTGTTTGCGCCAAAGAGGGCCTTCGAACTCCCCCCAAGGCCCGCCGCTCTCGCTTCAGGGAACGGGTCGACAGGTGACGGAAAACACTCGCGACCAACTAATAATGAAGCTTGCAATATTAAGGACTATAACTCGAAAAAAAACAAACGAAGCACGGAACACAGATCTGAAAAACAACCGCCGGAGTGTATTATACGAGCAGCGATCAGAGAACTTTGAAGACAAAATGCGTTGAAGAATCACAGCCACAGAATGGCTCAACGCGGAATGTAAAGAATCTCCTCATATCGCTGCAAGAGGTCAGACTCCTAGACGCGACTATTTGAAGAGGATAGCTGAACTGAAGAAAAGCTCCAGGCAATAAACTGTACCTCCGAGAATGTGCTGCTGAACGCCATGACTGTCACGTGCTGTTCCCCGCCAGTACGGTATTTCGGGTTCATGAATCTTGCGGGTTCGGACGTCCAGGAGCTCGAACAATTGGCGAATTGCGATGAATCGACGCCAACGTACGTTAACGTCGGAACGGGACACTCAGCGAGGCGATCTGCGAAATAGTAAAGAGTACATGAGAAACGGAGGTAGAAGACTTAGGAGAAACAGTCGTGGGAGACATGTCGACAGTAGCCGATTGCATTTCGCCTCCTCCAAACGAGGGCGGCGAACCCCAATGGAGACGACCCGGCCCAGCCAAAAGAGAATTGGCGGGGCCAGCAAGCCCCGGCCACTGCAATAACATCACTCTTGCAAAGATATGGCCGGACCTCTGATGTAAGCAAAGGACGGATGGAAGAATTGCGTAAAAGCGTGACTGGGCATAAACGAGATAGCGAACAAAAAAAGACAAGGAACGATGACCAGACAGGTATCTCAGGAGTACAGGTGGCAAACGAGGTCCACTCAGACGAAATTAACGTGAGTTGGAAACGAATAATTTTCTTCAGCGCTGCTTTTAACAGCTCGAAGCGAGCTGGGTATATATCGAGTCATCATTGTGGACCATAAGCTCGTAACAGCAATCGGACGGAGAGAAAGCAAACACCAAGTGCTAGAAGTCACAGTTGACAGAACAGGGAGAGGGTGGACGAAACGACGCAACAAAAAATACAGATACTGAATCACCGAGGAGGCTCAGACCCTTAGATTCCGCCATCAGATTTGCGCTCAGACAATAAGGATTGTGATCTATAAATATCATCACCGCCTCCTCCAGTGAACATCACGAGTTCCTAAGACGAAGGAATGTACTGGGAATAAATGCGACAAGAGTTCCGACGGATTTACGAAACGTACCCAAGGAGAGCAGACGCGCTGTTGCAAGTCATATTGGACGTCTGTTTTCGGTCACGTGACATTGCAGGCGAACGCAGGCTCGGTCAGGCATAGTTGCTGCATTATCTGATCCAAGAGTCACGGGGAAGAGGGAGCAGCAGGGTGTTAGCGAAAGGGGATACAATGGCGGACCAGCGACAAGAAGCATCATGTCAGAAGAACCGGAAAAAAGTTTAGCGCGTTATGAACTGGTCATGGTTTTCATACGATAGCGCGTGTGGGGAACGATTATTCGCCGGCTGTCAGCAGGATAAACCCTCAAGCCAACGACTCAAATTCGCTCTGCCTCAGTGTCCGCCGTATGGGGGCCCCCATTGCCAATCAAGACAAACCCGAGCGACAGGGGAAAATACGGCTGATTCTCTGCTCGCGACTTCATCGGGAACAGACGTTCATGGTCGGAAATAATTAGACTTGCCCAACGCTCTTGGCTTACAATGACAGATGGCACGCTGCGACCTTCAACGGCTTGACGCCGATGATAATGGCGCCTCAGAGCATGGCCGGCGTAAGACGAGGGCCGAAGCACCGGACACGAGAGTGCCGGACGAGGCTGAAGCCATGGCATGGTGGTCCGGGCGACGCAACTTATGGTGCGTGCGAGGCAGTGGGAGAACTGAAAAAGCTTTGAGGTTCTTACATACACTAACCAGCAGGGGCGAAGAGCTGAGACAGAGAGAATGGATGGGATGGAGGTTCTGTGTGGTGGTACTGTAGTTAGAAGAGCTAAGGCGAGGGGAGGGGGTTTCGGGAGGCTGGGAAGGTCATGACTGTTTTTGGGTGTTGCGAAAATAACGTCCCAAACCCGTTCGAAGGTTCACATGCACAGCAGCAGCATAGGCCCACTCATCAATACCATGTATTGCAAAACCATAATAACGTTATGAGGACTCGTAATGAGATTTTTCTTTACGAAAGATGGAAACAGAAGAACAATTTACAGGCTCTCTCTCGTCCAATATTTTGGTATACTCTTATTTAATGAATTTGAAGTGCTATTTAGAACCTTCTCACCAATACCGAAGAAAGAAAAGAAATTGGAACATAGGCTACAAAACTCATTGCCCTAGGAAAATATCTTCTTTGTGCATATGTTAGCAAGTCTGTAAACCAGTTGAGGGAAAAGGGTTACTGCTGGTAACCCTGAGCAATTTCCTGTCCTGCGTCCAACAAGGCCGTGTTTCTTCCTTACTGAACAAGGGCGTGTCCGAAGCGTACGCCCGACTGTGGTTGAGTGAGGTTCTTTTTGGGTCAGAAGGATCAAAATACTAATCTGAAGTGATCGGGTTGGGTAGAGAGCGAAAACGGAGGCTTGGGACACGCCCTAATGTTTTCTCTCCATTCCTAGCCGCTGTTTCTCGACACAACTACTTCACGCTGTTGCTGTGGTTGTGCTAGGAGTGCAGGTCGCATGTCTTGATTTCCGCGACAAGATACCTATCCAGTTTTTCGCGGGCCGATTTCTGAGCGAGTTAGAGCTTTCAGGCGGTACTTGTTTTCGGGCCTCACGTGCCTTTTCCCTGGACAGTCCTGCTCATTTAGGTTTCGAACAGCGTAGCTGGCTAGCCGTGCTTGATTCCCGCCATGGACATTTTATCTCGACAGTACGGCAGCGGACGAGGATGGGAGGGGAGGATTCTCCGCGAGAGAAATCCGCGTTAACAGCTTCTCCGCCTCGGGAAAAGCATGCCTTTGGTACCCGTGCTGATGCAACCCTAGCCGGCTCTGCTGGGGCTACTTCTGGTAACCCGGCTTCAAGGAATCCTCAGGAAGATGACGATAACGATAGCGATGACGACAATATGGCCTACAGGATCCTCGCTCCCCCAAGCTCCGCCGCTCCTCCAGTCAGCGACGCTTTACTCGCTACAATCCCACGCGATATAATGACAGCGCCGATCGACCCGTCTAAGCGGAATCTTCAGTTCAATCCGACTACGATCAGCTGTGGACTCCTGTAGTGGGTCCCGCGCATCCTCATAACGCGGATGGCCGCGCGTTAGGGTTACGAAACCACCGGCTGGGATCCGTCCAAGACGCAGCGGTGGACTCTTTTGTCTTCGACGAACAGTACCACACGTTCCAGGCGTACGGCTACAGTGTTGACCCTGCAAGTGTAAACGGGGGCGAGGTCGTGGGTGATAAAAAAGCAGTTGACAATAAGGGGGGTGCTACAGTGTTTAATGTGTCGAAACAGGAGCGGGAAAAGCGGGCTCTGGAGGTGAAAGAGGAGGAGAGGAGGAAGAAGGAGGTCGAGAAGGAGAGGAAGGAGGAGGAGAGGAAGCGAAAGGAAGAGAAGAAGAGGAGGAAGGAGGAGGAGAAAGCGAAGAAGGCTGGGAAGAAGAAGAAGCGGAAGGGGGGAGGTGGTGGGGAGGCGCAGGAGGGAGAGGAAGGGGGAGGTGGAGAGGGGGAGATGAATAAACGAGGACGGAAAGGGAAGGCAGTGGAGCAAGAGGAGGAGGAGTGTGAGGGAGGTGCAAAGAAGAGCAGTGAGGAGGAGAGAGAAGGGGCGGAAGAGGAAGCGGAAGAGGAGGAGAGCGAGGAAGAGGAGGAGGAGGAGGAAGAGGAGGAGGAGAGTGAGGAGAGTGAAGAGGAGGAAGAAGAAGAAGAAGAAGAGGAGGCAGTGGAGGAGGAAATAGCCAACCCTGCGTCGGACTCATGGCTTCGAAAAAGCTCCAAATCACCCTGGGCAGGCAAAAAAGAGGAACCCAAGGCCGAGCTGACCGAGGAACAAAAGAAATACGCGGAGGAGCATGCCCTAAAAAAAGCCAAGAAGGAGAGGGGGGATAAGGAGGAGGTGGAGGAGAAGAGTACGTTCCATGGGAAGCAAGAGAAGGACTATCAGGGCCGGTCTTGGATTGCGCCTCCTAAGGACGTCCTTAATCCCGTGCCGCCGACCCATTGCTACATCCCCAAGCGGTGGATTCACACGTGGAGTGGGCACACTAAGGGCGTCAGCGCCATCCGGTTCTTCCCCAAGTGAGTGCTCTGTGCTTTCGGCGGCTCTGTGTCGGTCCTTAGTCCTGTGTGTGCCCCAGAGTGTATTTGCTGCTCCATGGCCGCCTGTCATTCATTTGACACGCTCGAAAACACTCTCCGTCCCGTCACTTTGCCCCGTTTGCCCTCCTGTTCCCCTCTGCTGCTTTGCCCTCCTGTTCTCTGCTACTTTTCCGAGGTGACTTTTGAGTCGACTCAAAAGTCACCTCTGCTACTTTCCCTTGTGATCCCCTCGTCACATGGCCACCTGCTGCTCTCAGCGTCACATGGCCACCTGCTGCTCTCAGCGTCACATGGCCACCTGCTGCTCTCAGCGTCACATGGCCACCTGCTGCTCTCAGCGTCACATGGCCACCTGCTGCTCTCAGCGTCACATGGCCACCTGCTGCTCTCAGCGTCACATGGCCACCTGCTGCTCTCAGCGTCACATGGCCACCTGCTGCTCTCAGCGTCACATGGCCACCTGCTGCTCTCAGCGTCACATGGCCACCTGCTGCTCTCAGCGTCACATGGCCACCTGCTGCTCTCAGCGTCACATGGCCACCTGCTGCTCTCAGCGTCACATGGCCACCTGCTGCTCTCAGCGTCACATGGCCACCTGCTGCTCTCAGCGTCACATGGCCACCTGCTGCTCTCAGCGTCACATGGCCACCTGCTGCTCTCAGCGTCACATGGCCACCTGCTGCTCTCAGCGTCACATGGCCACCTGCTGCTCTCAGCGTCACTGCACACCAAGATCAAGATCTGGGACGTGCCCAACACCCAGAAATGCATGCGCACCTACATGGGCCACTCCAAGGCCTTACCACTCTCCCCCATCCCCCCTCCCCCATCCCCCTCCCCATCCTCCCCCCCCCCCCCCCCCACCCCCTCTCCCCCTCCCCCTCCCCACCCCAATCACCACATGCTCCTGTTTACCTATGTCCAGGTGCGGCCATCTGCTGCTGTCAGCGTCACTGGACACCAAGATCAAGATCTGGGACATGCCAAAAAAGGAAATGCACAAGTGCATGCGCACCTACTTGGGCCACTCCAAGCCCGCCTGTCATTTGACACACTCCAAAACGCCCTCCCTCCCATATTATTGGCCCCTTTGCCCCCCTGTTCGCTGCTACTTTCCCTTGTATTTGCCTCTTCATGTGTGCAGGTACGGCCATCTGCTGCTATC